TTTTGCTGACATACACATTTCCTCTTTATAGTTTTTTTGGAATTTTTCACAGTTCAAGAAAAAAGCAGCCGTATGGTCTAAAGATCAAGAACCGCTGTGACTTGTGTGCTTATTGCATGGCTAGATGGTCTTGGAGTAATCTAGACACTCTACTCCTACCAAAAGCATGAGACTCTTCAACAACCTGATCAACAATCTTTCTTAGGGGAAAAAATACTATCTTTTCTTAGGCATATTTGAGGGAAAACCCCAACTATACTTGCACCCACCATTTTCTTGTCTGCCCAATTGGCCCTAGAAATCCCAAAATGCTGAAGTCCGTAAGGTGGAAAGAGCTGTCAGACCACGTTTCTGTTTCTTAAAGCTTACAACATCGTTTATGGTGGCACTTGTTCAAGGTTTGAAAATATGTGACTTGACCAGAGAGTCCCTTCTGTTGAGCTGTGCTGAAATCTTCTTCCTTCATGTGGTTGGCTGGGCAGTGCTTCATGATGAAGTTAAAACCTTAATTCTGAGTGAATTTATGGTTGTGAAGTACTCTAGCCTCTCATTTCTCCAACCTTTCGCCATCACTACTAGCTTAGGTTTGAAATAGGAGCTTTGGAATTTGAGAGGAGGAATTCCTAGTTGAGGCTTCTTGACCGTTAGGGTCCCTTACTTGCAGCTCCGTCCTTGAAGATCTTAATTATCCTGAAAAACTCTAAACGTGGATCTTTGAACTATGGTCTGGAAGGATACATTTCCCGAGAGGTGAATGAGAAGTTTTAGTAGAGAACATCTGCACCTAAGACAAGATCCAACTAGATGCATTCTTTGAGAGTGTGCAATTTTTGGATGGAGAGAAATCGCTGAATTTGAGTAGGCAGAGACTGAAACCTGCTTTCTTTTCTTGATAATATTATTTTTGCTGCTGGTTCTTGGTGTGTAATTAGTAGTAATTCCTTTTGTAACTGTTCAATTTCTGATGATTGGGCCGATCGGAGGGCTTTCTTATAGAACCTCTGTTGGCCGTGGGTCGAGTTGCCTTCTCTCCCATTTTTGTATATGTCATTATATTAATGAACTGTTACCTTTCTTATAATGATGATGATAATAATAGTAATATATCTCGGAACAAATCTCTCTCCTTACAATTCCTTCATTTTTTTTTTTTTTTTTTTTTTTTTTTTTTTTTTTTTTTTTTTTTTTTTTTTTTTTTTTTTTTTTTTTTTTTTT